AAAAAAAAAAAAGGTTGAGAAGTTAGAGGGTTGATATGTTGTGGGGTTGTTAACCAATGTCATAAAACAACATGTGTACTTCTGTTTCATGAGAAACTATTTGTTCTGTAAGCCTTCACCTGAAGTACAAGAATAAATAAATAAATAGGTGGGGGGGGGAAACTACTTGATGGTAGTTTCCAGCCCTTCAATCCCTCCCCTTTAGCCTGAGTCTAGAAAGTCCAGAGTCTTTTTACTTAACCATATGGAGCAATTCACCTTTTGCCCCAAGGGCATTTTCCTAAACAAAGGAGAAATTACAGTCTGCCAATGAGGCAAAAGTGCCTGCAGGCAGTTGCAGTATTTTTCTTGCCTACACACGCGCGCACGCGCGCACGCACACACACACACACACACACACACACACACACACACGTGTCCAGATGTCAGCTGGGCTCTCCCTGCCTGTTAGGATCTATAGAAAATTAATTCATGCCCCATTCTCCAGCCACAGTTTGGTGAGTGTGCTCCAAGGTTTCTGCTGTCTCTCCAGAGTTTTCTATTCTTTGCTCCATCCCCACGTTTTTGCTTCAGCTGAACCAGTTCAATTTGGGGAAAGCTCTCACTTCACTATCTGTCACCCCGTTTGGAGTGTGTAGAAGCTTCCTCCACCTCCCACCCCCCACATGTCAGTGTGTCATACTTTGGTGGCTTGTGTGTTGCTGTGATGCTGGATGTTATAGTGCCAGGTAGTTCAAAGACCAGCATGGTCACCCATAGTGGACAGGTTTCAGTGGAGCTCCCAGGCTAAGATAGACTAGGAAGAGAGGCCTGGAGATCTACTTCCAAAAATTAGCCAATGAAAACCCTACGGATCACAACAGAATGTTGTCCGATATTGTGCTGGAAGATGAGCCCCTAGGTTGGAAGGCAGTCAAAATACACAGTGGCTGCAACAATGGACTCAGAGCATGCCAGTGATTGTGAAGATGGCGTGGGACCCAGCAACTTTTCCTTCTGTTGTATATGGGGTCACGATGAGTCGGAGCCACCTCCACAGCAACTGACAACATTAGAGTCCTAGGGCTGCCATAACAGAATACCACACGCTGAGTTACTTATAAACACAAACCCGTTGCCGTGTTGAACTGCCCCATAGGGTTTCCAAGGCTATGATCTTTACAGAAGGAGACTGCCACGTTTGTCTCCGGCGGGGGGTTCAAATCACTGACCTTTCTGTTAGCAGCCGAGCACTTAACCACTGGGCAACCAGGGCTCCTTCAGGCGACGTAAACTAAATTTACGTCTCTCAGTTGTGGAGGTTGGGAGGAGTAAATATGATTTTCCGTGGATGGCTACTGTGAGGATTAAAGCGAGTAATTATGTTAATAATCAGCCCAGTTAACAATTCTCCAGCACTGCCTGGTACACCAGGCACTCTCTCACCTTGGCAACAACTGTGGCAGGGAAGTCTTGCTGCTGTCCCCATTTTACAGATGTTGAAAGGGAGGCACAAAGTGGAGCAGTAACTTGCTCAAGAGTCAGGGCTAGTTAGGAGATGGAGTAGGTGGAGGTTAGGGGTGAGAGGTTCTGGGCTGGGCCAGGAGAGCACCTGGATGGGAATGACCTGCCCTTCACACCCCCTGCCCCCAGAAAGCTGGATGCCTTCATCTATGACGCAGCCGTGCTCAACTACATGGCCCGCAAGGACGAGGGCTGCAAGCTGGTCACCATTGGCTCCGGCAAGGTCTTTGCCACGACGGGCTACGGCATCGCACTGCACAAGGGCTCCCGCTGGAAGCGGCCCATCGACCTGGCACTGCTGCAGTTCCTGGGGGACGGTGGGGCCAAGCACAGGGGCTCCTAGATGGGATGGAGGGTGGCGAGACCCCTGGGTCCTGAGGAGGGAGGAGGTGGGGGCCCATAACACTGCTGCATCGGAAGGGAGGGTTCATGGAGGCTACCACGCAGGTGACTTCTGACCCCCCTCCACAGATGAAATTGAGATGCTGGAGCGGCTGTGGCTCTCTGGGATCTGCCACAACGACAAGATTGAGGTGATGAGCAGCAAGCTGGACATCGACAATATGGCAGGTGTCTTCTACATGCTTCTGGTGGCCATGGGTCTCTCCCTGCTCGTCTTTGCCTGGGAGCACCTGGTCTACTGGCGCCTGCGGCACTGCCTGGGGCCCACCCACCGCTTGGACTTCCTGCTGGCCTTCTCCAGGGTAGGGGGGCGAGAGGGTGGCAGTAGGGAGAGACTGGGAGACGCATGCAAAGATCAGGAGGCATGGACAGAAACGGGAAATATGGACAGAGAGAGAAGGGGAGGGGGAAAGGCAGGTAGAGAGGGGAAGACACTGAGACTTGGGGGGACATGGGTAGAGATGGGAGGGGGGCATGCTAGTGCAGACCGGGAGGTGGGGGAGATGCGGGTAGAAACCTGGAGAGAGGGGGGACGCAAATGAAGACTGGAAAAGAGGGGGGACGTGGGAAGAGACGGGGAGAAAAGGGGAAACGTGGATAGAGCCCGGGAGACAGCAGGGACGCGGGCAGGTGAGGGTGGAAATGGAGGGTCCCCGGGCACTCCGCGCCTACCGCCCCTTCCCGGTCCCCACAGGGCATGTACAGCTGCTGCAGCGCCGAGGCCGCCCCACCGCCAGCCAAGCCCCCGCCGCCGCCGCAGCCGCTGCCAAGCCCGGCGTACCCGGCAGCACGGGTGCCGGGTCCCGC